ATCAAACACCACGAGGATACAATGAGATTTATCCCCGTGGAAACCTTGTTTTGTCGCAATGACAACCAAATAGATCTTGCTTGACAGCGACTACGCCTACTGAGTGGATCGAACTCCAACTTCTAAATGCCACTTGAAGAAGAACATATTTTACGATATAATGCATGTGCAACGTATTTATTGCTGATACAGCATTTAAACTGGTTTTTGAGAAAAGTCGTCGATGTATCATACAGGAATAATTTGTTTCTGAGCCATGAAGTGAAGAGTTAGCAGGGCGGCATTGAAGAGGTTATGGCTTTTCACCAGACATCAGAAACATTTGTGCTGAGATCACCCTTTCATGCGTCTTACAAAATGTGTAATTCGGTCAGGTGGACGGTGACAGTGTTGACAGAGAGACAGAGAGGAAACTGTGCACACAAAGGGTATTCTTGCTGATACGTTGGCAAGATAATGAACAGAATGATAAGTAAGTTGATTGTTTGTCGAGAATAACTGCCTTGGGCCTGTCAAAAGTATTCTAAACTTTTTTCAATGTATGACACATTTCTTCTGCAGAGACATGAGATTTCCAGGGGGACGCCGATGCTTTCACTGAAAGAAGTTTCGTCTCCTGTATAAGTGTTCAACACAGTGTATACTTGAAAAGGTTGGGCATCTTCATTTGGTGTAACGGAATCGTAATGGTAAAGGACAGCGGTGTGAATATGACACGGCGTGAAAAGGGTTTTGTGTTGAGCGATTTGTGTTTAAAGCCAACATAATCAATACAGATATTCATATTGGCCACAGAGCGGATGACACTCGACATTCCCTGCCCATGTAATTAACACACTGGCAAGGTGCGCCGTCAAGGTAGTCGATGGATGATTGCCGATGGTCACGAGATGGACTCTGGTTCGTTGAACATTGGCCAGTAAGTGGTCACTAAGTGATCGACCGCTGGTAGGAAATCAGTTGGCGGTTGCTAGATGTCACCAGTTGACCTGTTGCTAGATCATCAGCTAGTTGTCTCAAAGGGTTCACCGAGAAGGTAAGAAGTCACTTGACGGTTGCTTAAGCACTATTTGCTGACCTGGCCAATATGTGCTCACCAAGGGAAGACTGGAATGGTAGGAACCCAATTGGAGTTTGCTATATGGTCACATGATGGTCACAGCTTGTTGCTTGATTACCCCTACATTAACGTTAAATGGTCATTGTGTTGTTGTGAGTTGTTCACTAGGTGTAACAAGACGATTGCTATGTAGTCACTTATTGATCACTGGATTGTGGCGAACCAGCCAGTCCCTGGATGGCCAAGAAGTAATCACAAGGCAGTTCCGTGGTGATCCCTAAACTACAACTTCATGGTCACTGGGTGTCTTATATTTGGTCTCTGCACGGAACATAAGTGATTGCCTGCTGATGAAATCAACAGATACATATATTAACAAATGCAACGTCTTCGAAAAGTACGTAAACAGTTACCCCGCTTATTGTATACCAACGTTAACATATATCCTGTAGCAGTATTGATTCTGTGATTGCTCGTTGTTTAACACCGCGCTCAGCAATATCCCAGCTATACAGTGTCAGTCTCTAAATAATCGAGTCTGGACCAGGCGACCCAGTGATCAACATCATGAGCATCGACCTACGCAATTTCCCTTAGCAATTGACACGACGGAAACAATAACGTCTACCCCCTCCACTCTCCATCCTCTCTCTCTTATATAAATTATTCCACAATCTATGGACGAACGGTAGTGTATACCAATTCCTATTGTTGTTGAAGGAAAGTATGTAGATGATCACTTAGTCTCAACCACCTGCAGAAGGATGCCTGTGGTTTCAAATGTCACAGTGGCGGATAATGCGCAGCTGAAGTACCACTGTACGGTCTAATCTTCACTGCCTTCGTACGGCTAGGAGCAAATGTACAATCTATCTATAGCCAGTTGAATAACACACTGGCTAGACAGTCAGGTCGAACCATACTGACATAACATCGTATTAAAGTAAATCCAGATATATGACGCAGTCAGTAAACCTGCGGCATAGCAATGACAGAAGCAACCCCGAAAATCTGTCCCTTCCGAAATACCTGCACTAGGGCGGACATAGGTATTGCATGACAATTATCAGAGATAGACAGCAAAAGTATGTGCACTTATCTGCATCTCATCGATATATATTCTCGCACTCCTAACATTTTCACGGGTCAACTAACTAGTGGGGGTGCCTAGCGAAGTATTACTTTGGGTATGATACGATTTCACATTTCACTGTCTTATCATTGGTCAGCGTAGCAGCTTGAGACGTCGCGAAGATCGATCATATAGAAGATTGAGAGATTGTGTTAAGTGAGTTGTATGGGACAGGCGCCACAGTCACTGTGAGCGTGGGTTTACCACAATTATATCAACATCCCGGTCATATGATGGCGGGATACCCTAAATGAGCTTCAAGGTGTGTACTCGTGGGGAATGTTAAACTTGTGAACAGCCAACCAATAAACGTATTACAAACTACCCGTCCACCGTATGTCTCCAAAACGGCGAAAGCATTTTTGTCGAATGCCACGTCAGTCAAAAGGAACCATTAGTCAAAAGAGTTAATACTATACGAGTTATATAAAATGCACATTCATTTAATTTATACAGGTAATGTATATCAGTACAGTGAGATCAGATATCAAGGATGTAAATGTATTGCGTATAGGTCAAGTCTACCAGTATATCGAGATCAAATATCACCAAGCATATACAATAGAGGCACGGAGGTCATATCTACTTGTACAGGGAGTCCGATATCATCATGAATATACAATACAAATATACAGGTCATGCCAATTAGTACATTATATATACGAGTACATACAATATACGTATACAGGTCAGAACACTAAGTACAGATAATTATTACGGAGGATTTACAACAAATAAATATTTCCCCGTCAGCAATATACCAACAAAAAACTAAGACGGGGACAGCAAATATGTGCTCGACACATGTTGATTTACGTGTCTAGATGCAATTGGTAGCGTTGCGGGGAAATATTCGTTTGAGGCAACACTTGTTTTCATAATTCAATGACTTCTTGTGTCTCAGTCATTCCTGGCAAGTCGTTTAGGTGTGATGACAGCTGTTCCATGGTGTGATCGAAGGTACTGGCACAGACCGTCATATCCCCAGACAGCTACGACTTACTGCAAGGAATCATCCAGATTCAATATATCTTGAAACTCCTGGCATAAGTGATGTTCATACTTGCATCCATAGCAGTCATTATGTCTGGAATAGGTCCCGAAACTGCCTTTCAAATCCAGGTATTAGCCTGATGTTAACAAATCGTATTTAGAACAGTCAATGTGTGTATTTGTGTGTGTGAGAGAGGGAGCGAGCAAGAGAGAGACGACAGAGTGTGTGTGTGTGTGAGAGAGAGAGAGGGAGAGACGGTAGAGAGAGAGGGAGAGAGAGCGAGAGAGGTGTCGATGCAACGTGTTCACCTATAATAACTGAGTTCTTATCAAGATGTCACCTTTTCAGCATCAAGACTACCAAGACCCCCCTGCAAGCTAATAGCAGAGACAAAATCAACTGAAGTCCAAAACCAGAGGATGTGTATACCAGATCATACCAGATCCTCTGCAACACACGCACACATCAAATGTTAACATTGAGTATACTTGGTTATATAAAGTTCTTGACATCGGAAATATGCGATAACCCAAAATAGATGTGCCGTCAGCAGCTTCTGTAAAATAGTCATTCTATCTTCGTCAAATGTACATGTTAGTGGGTGGAAAGCCCGATATAATTCAAGTCTTTGACTTTTACCACTTTCGTAGAACGGTAAGCCGCGGGGTATGATGGGTGAGTCTTGGATTCGAACAATGAAGACCAAGGGAGGCAACTCCGCACAAAGCCTCACACGATTTAGCTAATAACTATAATACAAATGTGCCTGTTCACTAACATACCGACAACATGTCTCCAGTGCGCATTCGTAAAGTAAAAGCAGTATGTAACATACTAAGATGGAAATTCCCGATCCTGAGTGATTAATCAGAAGAATGAAATCGTGTAAATAACATCTTATTAAAACCACTGATTTCAAGGCAGCATGAACGTGTATCCACCTACATATATGGCACTGCAAATCTAATTTTCCCACTATTTCTCCACCAACATCCAAAGAGAAGTAGAAATTAATTAAAATCGTAACGCCCAAAGTAATGAACCGGTTGGTACCAACGCAAGCACACACCTGTCCTTTTCTTCAACCTTTCAACAGCATAAAAATCTTAAAGTTATTCCATATCACATTGAATTTGCCTACCAAAATGTAAAAAAAACCATGTTTGTCCGTAACGACAGCTATTCCCTAAGACCATCGCGTCAGTGACAAATACGCTGACCCTATTTTTAAAAAATGCTTAACATGCAAATCTGCCTTAGACAGATACTATGTTCCATACGAATGCTACAAGGAATTCGTTCTACCCAACCAATTTACCATTACCTTCCATTAGGAAATCGTTCTGTTCCTAATAATACGTGACATGTCCCCACTATATGTGGCCATTATAGTTTTGAGGGGCGACTGTGTATTTGTGTTTTTATTGGCAGTATTCGAAACTATATTACTGGAATTTTAACAGTCATAACTGTCAGTTGATTCCAAATTCTTTTCACATTGTCTTGCTTTCCCGAACTGCCTTCCCGTAAATATTAGTTTGTTATAATACTGACTTACCTTTCCGTAAGTATTATATCTAGTGTATTACTTAATTGCCTTCCTGTAAGTATTAGTTTGTTGCAATACTGACGTACCTCCCCGTCAGTATCTGTAGTGGTCAAAGACCAAACAATGTTATCTTAAATCTCATTCCGTTTGTTGTTCTGTTTTGTTTGTAAATACGAATCCGAGTTTCGGATGTGAGTCCGAATTTTGTATATACCAAAAAGGGAGGTAATTAGTTGTCATATTTATTGGGAACACGACCGCATGGTCCCGCATGAAAGTTGGCAGCCAAAGAGTAAAGAACGTCCTGAATATTGGTAAATATGCAATTCATTGCTTTGGACCATGTATAGTGTTGTTATGCTCTATCATTATTTTGGCAAGGCTGTTATTTTTGCTTAGTTTTGTATGGAATTTAATTTGCTTTCGAATTCATTCGCTGCAAGTGCTGCATGCGTTTTCAGTACTCAAGGACAAAGGTTGAATAACCTTCTGGATATTTTAATGCTAAAAGCATAAATTCAGTAAATAATACTATTTACTGTTTTATTTAACTTTCTTTAGGAGTGTCTATGTTCAGAACATATTCATTTAATTTTCAAGCAAGAACTTTGTCTAATTTTCATGCTCAGTAGGACTAGGTTCCCACGTGTACTTGAAGAAATATTTGAAGTTAAAAAAATAGTGTTTATTCATTAAAGTAAAAAAAATAATTGGCATTTCACCGCAGAATTGGTCAACTGTGTGTTAGTACATATTTTGGGAGGGTTTCTTTCGGGGCATTTTGTATACATGCGGAAATTTCTTCCATGGTATAACACCTTGGGTATGGTGCATTGTTGCTATTTTTGGCTATGAATATTCATATTTTAGATTGGAAATATTACTTTGCATTGTATCAACATATTCATGCTGGTGGAGATTAACGACAGCATGCATTTTGTTAGGAATTATTGGAGGCATTTATACTTATGCATTCTATACAATATGGGGTCAGTGGGGTGGCCTTGTGGTTGGAGCGTTCGCTGGTCACGCCATGGACCCAGGTTCGATTTCCCACATGGGCACATTGTGTAGCCTCTTTCTGGTGTCCTACGCCGTGATATTGCTGAAATATTGCTGGAATAACGTTGGAAGCGGCGTAAAACTAAAACTCTCTCACTATTCTATACTCATTCATTATGATTAGATGTTGGATTGATATTAGAATATCATTGGACATTTTGTGATTTGCAGTTGACCTGTATCCTACCTGTACCCATCCTGTATCCTACCTGTATCCAATCTGTACTCAACCTGTACAACCTGTATCAACTGAGTGCATAAATCTGTACACTTGTACCAATGTACCAAGAACAAGAAACAAGATATAATAAAGAATCAGAACTCATAACCTGTTGGTTAGAGTATCATATCTAGTGTATTACTTAACTGCCTCCCCATAAGTACTAGTTTGTTATAATACTGACTTATCTTCCCGTCAGTATTATATCTAGTGTATTACTTAACAGCCTCCCCGTAAGTATTTGTTTGTTCCACAACAACGTATTATAACTTGAAATAACACGCAGTATTCGTCGTTAGTCAAGACCACCGTCTGCGCCCTCTCCACTGGAACATGTATCTAGCTGCTGACGTCACAATGTCAGTCTCATATCTAATCGGACTAAACAAATTGACAGATTGTGAATGGGGTGGGTTGATCATTGATTGGTTCTGTCAGACTTTTAGCCCCGCTATGATACAATGAAGAGTTTACTATACCATCGGTAAAGACATATGGGGAATCTATTATCTGTTATCACTACCCACAGACATTCCATGATTAAGCGTTCTCGACGCGCACTGTAATGCATGTATTCTTGGCAGTGTAACAGTAATTGTGAAAAATATGTCTCGAGGCACTGGCAGATGCTGAACGTGTGTTCAAACGCAGTTATGCCATCTATTGAAAGTACAAAATAGAAATATTTATTTGATCTTGGAATAGTACATTTCAAACGCTTGATCAGGATTTTGTAACAAAATATGTTCTTATATTAACATAATTATATTGTTTTCCCTTCTTAACACAGACCCTGTCTGGCGCGGAGTCAGTATAATGAGTGGGGTATTCGTGCTTCACTGCGGCATGGTATCTCAGTGGGCTAGTACAAGCAGCCGCACATACACACGCATGCACGTCGTCATATGAGCGAAATATTCTCAAGCACGACGTTAAATCCAATCTCACCTCACCTCTCAACACAGATATGGATAGCGTTACATTTCTCAGACAAATGTGTTTCAATCGGAACATCTCATTCTATATTTAATACTTTATCGATGATAAAGATCGAACGTACATGTAGTTCAAATTATTTGGATAGTGTTTCCAAGCACAACACAGGACCGATCGGCGACGCCCCAACTGTAAGTTGAAATGAGTATTGATTGGGGCAGAACACAGATACCACTGCAGACGCACGGTACATGGGCAAATCACGGAAAAGAACAGTACATGGGCGGAATACAGGCCGCACTAATATTACTGGATACGCACAGAATATGCTGGAGACGCTCAGTACATCTGAAAACACACATCCTACTGGAGATGCAGAGTACATGGAAAAACACACATCCTACTGAAGACACATAGTGTATGGGCAGAACTAAAGTCCTGGACAGTCCGTTACATGGGCAGAGCATCGAGCTCTCGGGAGAGTAATACATATTCAGCTGAACGGGTCTGTATTGATATCGGCAACATGAAGTTAGAAACGGATTGGGGAATGTTGATTGGGGATTTGGATGCATTTTCACTTTCGGGATTCGAATCCCGAATCTGAATATTTTTTCACATTCAGGATGTGCAATAATAAGAAAATAATTAAATGCATAATAAGAGTTCGAATACCACATACTGATGGCCAATGCCGAGTGCCGAATGTGCAAAAGGAAAAAACCCGAATGTGAAAAAATTCAGATTGGGGATTCGAATCCCGAATGTGAAAAAAAAAATCAGATTTGGGATTCGAATCCCGAATATGACCAAAAAATTCAGATTCGGGATTCGAATCCCCAATCCCGAATCCGTTTCTAACTTCATGTTGCTATTGATATCACACTGTCGGACACGAACCGTAGAACACTTCCTCTCATATCTTTCTTTTAGAGGAAGCCCCATTGCAATCTACGCAAAAGGAAAATATGTATATACATATGGTATGTTTCGGATAGGTGAAACGTTTGCAATGTTTACTAATCCCTCTACCACGTTATCCCACTACGGTACGGCTTGTGAACCTTGGTGACTGCCACGTGTATATACTATTATGATAGTATTCCATAGGATTGAGCTTTCAAACCAATGTCGATCATTGTCGATCTTGTGGATAATTATATAAGTCTGATCTTATCTTTCTGTGTGACAGATGGAGACTGGGATACTTCAGTGGAGATGAAAGGACCAGGACATGTACAAACAACATTGAATTGCATAGAGTGACCATTAAATATTATGTCTAGTAGATGAACAAAATTATACATCACAAGGGAAGTTGTCCAGTCCGGTCCACCCCAGCCAGTGCTGTTGTTCTTCACATAGATCCGAGTCTGTCGGTTTTGGTTATGGAACAATACAAAATAATAGGACCCAGGTATTTATTCATTGCTTGACAATAGTTCAGTCTGATGCGCATCCCCAACAGGTAAGGCAACCTTGAGAAGACATGAACACAAATAAGGATACTGATTCCTATGCGTGTTAATTATAGGTTCCCTGTCTAAACTAGACTGTCGTTTCTACTGTTAGCTGTGATCATGACCAACCTTACATGAAGTGTCCAGATCCACAGAGTTATCGTGAGATAGCTCCAAAGTGGTCCACCACAGGTAGCCATTTTCAAATGCTGAAACAGACAAAACTACGTTAAACTTGCTTATCATTAATGTATGAATTAGCATCGTTTATTAACAAGAAAGAAACCCACAAAATGGGAATTATATGAATTTGAGGTCGCTAAACGACCACGCAGATTGGTGGAGATAATGTTTAGGATAACTATACGGAACAATAATTGTATAGAACAATTTGAGGATGCAACTTGGTTAGGAGCAAGTGTGTAAAGATTGCTTCGAGACACTACTACCGTGACATCTGTGTTAACTGCCGCACACACATGGCCTTGGTGGAGGCGCTGGGATGCTGTCTACATGGCGCAGACACTCAACTGCAACCTAAGACCTAAGGTTTTATGTGTGGGTGCTATTTCCGTGAAGCAAAGAAAGGAAAACCATTAGTGAGGAGAGTGGGGGTCCATGTTGTTTTGAGGAGGATTTGAAAAGAGTAGGTTTCGTTAACTCAATAAAGGAAATTAATGCTTTTCCAATAGCAGTAAGTATTCTGTCTAGGTATATATTGTAGGTCGTTGTTAACGTGAATGGTGTATTAATCTCAACAACGAACATAACATCAAGAAATAGCTTTTCAGTAACGAACATACCCATTGAAACAAAACCAAAAACCGAAAGAATTACTTGATATTCATTGTGATATATTAAGGATATTCATGTAAAAAGACGTCCGTTTACGAACATAACAGTCTGTGTTTTGGAAATTGAAACCTTAAACAAACACATATGAGTACGCGCGCGCACACACAATCACAAACACACGCACACTCATACAAATAACCTAAGCTAATGTTGTTGGGTTCCAGAGACAAAATTTGAATGTTTTCGTTTAGGGCAGTGGATGCATCCGGTATTTTCATCAAACTTAAAAACTATTGCCTTGGCCTAGAACACTGAAAAGTAATACATTCTTTCTCGAAATCATCCTATACATTTTCTTGTGCAAACGGTGCGTCATGATCATGAAATATCCTGGGTCTCTGCTGCCTATTCCGTTAGTCATTGGTCCAAATCGCCTCGAGCATAATGCTTCATCCGTCAACACTTTTACTGTGGTGTTCGGTTTCACCAGATTAGTTTGCGTCTGAACATGTTCCATCGTTGGCATTCTGTCCTGTTTACTACGCAGAGCAACGTAAGGTCCATCACAGTGTTCAATGATGCAAATATGATGCCATGTTTTAATGAAGATTGACAGCATCATATGCTTTTGATAAAAAAATCATGTTACCTATCAAATAGAAGGAGCGAATAATATTCTTCAAACACTGAAGCACTATTTACCAGACAGTGGAAATAATAATGAGTCATTTACATAGTGACAATTATAATCTGAACGCGGACATGTCTCCTGTTACATCAATACTCCGAACGGGATGTGTCTGTTCTGGATCTATTAAAACAAATAATCAAAAGCTTTGAAATCTTATGCAAGGTAAGAAAGTAAAAACGTGCACCAGACATTCAGCTTAAAATGGAAAAAAAACAAGTTATCAAATGATCGCACATCACTGTCATCATTGTGATGTGCATGAAGAGCTGGTGTTGACTTCATTGCGTCAAATACCTCGTATTACGAAGACAGTGATAGGCAGTCATACACGATGTAGTCTTTGATGAAGTTCCAGAAAAGGTAGACTTAATTGTGAAATCGACGAGTCGAATATGAATAATGTGACTCAATAAGATTATGTAACATATATCTGTCAGTGGCTGAAACCTGCCCTATGAAATCTGATGTGAAAAAAACAACATTTACTTAGTGAAGATGAATTCAACAAATTACGCAAGGGCTAAAAGGTTACAATTAAATGCCGAGGTTACGATGAAAGCTGATTAGTAAGGGAGCGTCTCTCGCAATGTGAATGTGTGGAAAAGCTTTTAACCATATAAATATTCATATCCCAAGAGAGTTTGAAGATCGTAGTAGTGATACTGAGGTGCGGGTGAGATTCTACATGTGACGTACATCAGAGAGAATTTGCCTCCGTAAATGCTGCTAATGACCTTGACGTACTGTATTTCATTCCATGATTTATCTAATTTCCCGACCTCGTGAACACAGGGATTACATGATGTTGACTCGCCTAAAGGAACGGCTACAGTGCAATAGTCATTGTTAACTCTAATCTCCCACTCTGAATCCTACATCGTGTGAAATGTAAATACCTCATTATGTATGCAATATATGATCATGTATCATTGTATAAATATTGTTATAAGCTTCTAAGCATTCAGCTTATGAAGATGTAGCTTACTGCTTCTCCAACCTGAAGAAGAATATAAAGTTTACTTAGTAATAGTATGGTATATTACTGACTTACCTTGCCGTCTCTATAATGGCTGTTATACTGCTGTCTTACCTTCCTGCCAGTAACAGTCTGGTATATTACTGACTTACCTTGCCGTCTCTATAATGGCTGCCATATTGCTGTCTTACCTTCCTGCCAGTAATAGTCTGGTATATTACTGACTTACCTTGCCGTCTCTATAATGGCT